CAATCCATTTATCATAATCTAGATAGGCGTTGATGAGAGTGAAGTTATGATATTCGATGTTCACACGTGAATAGGTTCGGACTGGGAGCAAATAAGTTGAAAGATTTTGTTGGGTTCTCAAGTTTAATGAACAAAGAAAGCAAACACTTTTTTTCGATGGGTTACTGTTCCTTTTTCTGAATCATAGTCAAAAACACAAATGAAGTGCAGTAAAATTTGAACCGTTTGGGAGTATGGTTGAGTCTCACGAGTGTTTGAATGGCCACGCCAATATTGAAGTCCTTAGATTTGACAATGATCTCATCAAGAATCTATCTTCTTCTTCCACAAGATAGAGGAGCATGCCAACAGTTCCAACTCATCTCTTTAATGCAACAGACGCAAAAATTCACAGGCAAAACCACCATTGCACTTTGTTTTTTAAACTTATATATGGCAGTGGACGATTCACCAAATCGAAATGATGACCCAAGTGTGAGTAAACGTGGCCTGTGTAGAAACTCCTCACTAATATATAACCCAATGTCGCACGTCACAGATTCCCGCATGCTGTGGACTAGACTTAGCAATCTGCTATCAACAGACTATAGTCACCACTGAATATAAATCATAAAGAGAAATCAAAATGTGTAGATACATATAACATTTCATTGTTTACTTTTTCTGCTCTGTGTATTAATTAATGGTGCCTTTGAAATTGTTGCAGTCTACTCTGTGTTAAATCACCAAAAACTTTGGGGCAAAAGGTAAGGACCTATTACGTATAGGGAATGATATCTACCTAGGGAGCGTCCCCAACTTTCTCTAAAACTCTCACAAGCACACACATGCACATGCCATACTCAAAAACTCGCAACCCCACACGCAAAGCCTACGTGCACTCATACATATTCTTCTCCACCTCCTTGCACCATCAAATTCTTCATCAATGGAAAAGGCCAACAGAGATTGCATGTGGGACCCAAAACTCTTCATCCATTGCCTGCCGTTTGATTTAGTACAAGGAAAACCTTGTCTCCTTGCTGCACTACACTGAAGTACATCGCTAAATAATACTTGAGTATGCAAACAAACTAATGTCATACTGATTTATATGTTTATGGTTGCCACTTAAGAAATAATAATGTGGCTGTGCTGAATTTTAGGAGAAGATTTTTGCACTCTACTTTTTCTCTGAAGTTAAAGCAGGCAACAATCTGGTTGAGTTTCCTTCGATATCTCGCTACGTTTGTGTACTGGCATGGCATGATGATATGGTATGGCAGAGTTTTTTTTTTAATTTTTCTGCAGAGGAAGACCTGAATTTCTCTCATTGTTCCTGCCATTGTCCTTTGATGAATCTCTTTTCTCTCTCTAAAGTTGCATCTATAAATATGAGCTTTTTCACCTGTCTAGTTCAACTTCAACTTTCATTACCGTTCTCATGAAGCTCACTGGCAAGAAACTCCTCGTTGGAGAAGCAGGGCACGTGCAAGATTCTTGGCTCTAAAATGTCACTTAGTTCTTTGCAGGTGCTCTCCTTCTCCAACATGGTGTCTCTCCTAACCTAACCATTTGAGTTCATCACTTCACTAGGTATAATTGCTTTCCTTTTATCTTCGTGCGTTCTTACCTAGAGTTTCTGCAACATGCATCTTCTTCTTCTAAAAAAGAAAAAACTTTTTCAATCACTTTGAAATTGAGTTCTGCAGTTTATAAAAGGGATCTTACCACTCTCATGACTGCTATATAACTAGTAAAACCTTTTCATGACTGAGAAATAACATGATACAAGGAAGGGTGTTCTATATGTGCTAACATTTTACTATATTTACGTTTTACTGTTGTTGTCTCTGCATATTGATCCCCAGGTTCTGAACTTGAACAATGGAAACCTTTAAGCTTACGAGTCTAAAAATGAACATCAAGGTAATGTAACTCAACACTTTCATTATATTTACGTTGTTAAAACTATTGTATATGATTAATCCACGTGATAAATTTCCTATACTTATAGGAATAAACATTCTATGTTGAATGTCATTTTCTTGTAACTACACACACAATGTTAAGTGATTTCCGTAACATGATTAATTAAAAGTACTAATGAAGGTTATGTTAAGGCTTAATTGATATTGAGTTTTATATCTTACATATGCATTAGTTAAGATTTGTTCCTCGGCATTAACATTAAGATTATCGCCATTGACATGACATGAGATTATTGTTAACACTGCTACACATTTTTCTCACAATATCACGGATATTTTTTTACAAATTTTAAATCTTTAGGAAAATCTTCTATAAAATACAATACAAATCACAAAAATGTCCAATTTCATTGAAAAAAAAATCCTCATTTTTTGAGGAAGAATGCAGAAGAATATAGGAATATAATATTTATAGCAAGAACAAATTGAGTTTGACGACATGAAGATTATTTGAAAAAGACAACATTAAAAAGGATAATTAGATAAGCCTAAAAAAAACAAAGGTCAGGGAGCGTACTTAGTAAATTAAGAACTACAAATAGCCGAAGCCTAGCTGGACAATGAGAATTTTTTAAGCAGCCCAATTGGTTGGGCCTAATAATAAAATTCGGGCTATGCGTGTCCAGCGAATATATAGATTTTTTCCATTATGGACTAAACCATTTTTACTAGATTAAATTAAATTACCTTGCAATAATCACTAATATTATCAATATAATATGACTTTTTCTTCTTCTTAAGGAGATGTATGTACATCTTCATCTCTTAACATCTAAAGACAAATTTTATAGTGAATGTCCAAAAGAATTTATCAGCTTATGATGGTTCAGTTGAGTTTCTTAAATAATAAAAATATATTTAAATTATTTTAGAAAATCTGTTGCTTTTTAAGAAAATAAATTATATAATTTTGTATGTAAAAAAGTTAGAACATTCAAATATTTTATTATTGATATATCTTTTTTTGGATAAAAAAAATTGAAACACCACTTAAAAACCTATTGTCCTTCTGGTCAAATTCTTTGTAATAGAAACATATAACACAATAATTAATGAGAAAAGTATGAATTAATTAAAAAGGTATTAAAAATTGCTTTGTATTGCGCAAAAACTAAATTTTCCTCTCAGATACGCAAAAATAATAATTCTGTGACTCTGTTGTGTAGTTTGCCAATAATCATGCATCGATACAAGTGAACAAACAAAAGTCACTTTTCATTAGACAAGCTATTTCAGTTTCTTCTTTCCTTCATTTATTAGAAAAAATATATAAAGATGATGCTTTGGGTATTAACAAAATCCAAATATTATGACTTCCTTTATAAATCACATTATGGGAAAAAGAATCTTAGTATTAAGAATTATAAATATTTAATGTATAACTAAATTAATTTTTTAATTCTACAAATATAATTCTTAAAAAAAATGTTTTTAGATATTAAAAGTAAAATAATATAATGAAAGTTGCTTCTGGTAGAAATTACAGAGTGCTTTATGTTAAACAGTTTAAAATCATATCAAATTAAAATATTTTAAATAACACGTGGTTGTATAATTTATTTTAGCCAACGTAGTTTTATAGAATTCATTGTAAGTCACGAGTTTACCACAACATGACTTTTGTTTGGAGAATGAAGACGAGAAAATGGTTTCTGACACAGGTTTCAAACGCAATTACACTAGATTGATTTTTTGATATTTAATAGAACAAGTGATGTCATTACAACCTATGATTTTGATAATTAAAATTTTAATTTTTTTAAATTAAATTATTGCTATATATTATTTAAATAAATTATTAAGTGGGTGTTTATTCCATAAAGTATGTTAAAATATATTTTTAATATACTAAAATATTATGTTTGACTAAGAATATAACGAAATAATAAACACGACCACTTAGAATATGCTAAAAATAAACAACATGACTAAAATTATGATTGAAACAAGTTATACATTTTATTCTAAGTATTTATAAGACAAAAAAAAAAATTAAATGATATTTTCGTAAGTTGATATATATATATATAAACTTGGTTAGATAAATTTCTGATTTCGTATTTTAAGTTTGTGTGTAAGTTAATTTTAATCTTTATCATTTTTTTTTATCTTTTAAAAGTATTTATAAAAGTTTATGAAAAAATTACTTCTAGTAAAACTTATAATAATATTTTCCAACAAATAAAGAATATCTTGATATAATCAGTCAAAATTACTTTTATTAAACTTTACTATAATATTTTCCAACAAATAAAGAACATCGTGATATAATCAGTCTGTCTTTTTTAGTTTTAAGTGATGTTAAATATGCATTCTAACACACCTAGTGTTTACACGTTTAATATTGTTTTAATATATTAACTCTAAATCCAAAATCATTAAACAAGTGTTGAGTTAAAACAATTATAAATAAATTTTGCACTACACATAAGTCTCCCAAATCATTAAAAAGATGAAGGGAAAGGTATGTATAACATGTTATTGTTATATTAGGTGTCGGTCATTTGTTTTTATAATAATGAATTATTATATTTTTTATTTATCATATTTATAAAAATAAGATATATTACTTTTATCTATATATATATAGATAGATAGACATGAGTTTAGAGAAGTTCCTAGTTAATTCCTAGCTAGGCCTGACATGCCTTGTAAACGTAAACATATAAATGAAGTTGGGCCCGAAAGTGATTTGGGAGATGAGACAATTAAAACTCGATGTGAAAATGCATGCAAAGCTATCTAGGATCTGTCAGATTAGTGTTTCCACAACCTCTCATACCTAATCCCTCTTCCTTCTCACATAGTTCATGTTGAATCTGCTTCTGGTACAACTTAACTTAAACCTAAACGACACTGCAATTCAATCAAACTCTCACTGTGACAATGCATGTTACTTCACCGTTCTTGTGTGCTTCATTAACCCACTTATATTACTTAATGTTTCACGTGTTTTACGCTGATCCATACGCGCTCTTTGGGAAGAAGAAACAGGAACATTAACATAGTATGGATATGACATCATACGTATGGTGTTAAGGGTCCACCTCACAATACCAACAAATGATCATTTAATTCAAAGACAATAATAAATGCTGGCACCGACTAAATGAATAAATGAAGAAGGAGATCAACTCATTAAACCAAGACACAATTACTTTACTTACTACATTCATTCTCATAGTCACAAAAATACTTTTGTTCTTGTTTTTTTAATCCCTAGACAGTCATATTAGCGTCGGGGAGCAGCAAAAACCAGCCCAACATAGCTTCAGAGTAAAACAGATGTTGCAGTCTCATGAAGCGCAGGCAGCAGGAACCAGACACTTGGAAATGAAACCCAGCATTTTCTTCTGCACATGCAACAATGTCAATTGTAAATATTATAAATCAATAAATAAGTAAAACGCGTGAGCCGAGGTGAGTTGACTCACGCGCTTGGTTGTGCGAAGGAGCTCTGGAGGGATCTTGTAGAGATCTTCATCCACAGGTTTCGGAAGTCTAACGGCACGAGGTGGCGGGGAAAGCGGAACGACGTCGTGTAGATGCATTTCTTTTCTCCCCGGCTTCCTTGCCTGTTCCGTCACGTCGCACACTTTCCCTTGCTTTCTCATGTTCACCTTCGCACCCTCTTTTTCCTTATCATTAACCATCACCATAACCTGCGCACACCTCCTTTCCTTGATCCTCGTCGCCTGCACCATCATCCTCCCACGTCACCGAATTTTACCCACAACAAAATATACAATAATAACATAACAGACATGTGCTTTCATGTCCTGTCTCAACCACCGCACTCTTAACAACCATGGGTGACCGAGACGCGCATTTATGAACGTAGTACCACAAACATTGCAGAGAAAGAAAACGTAAAAACTATTTTACGCTCTAACATAGTAAGATGAAATAATAAATGAAGGTTGTGGGGTTGGATTGAATAGAAATGAAAAGAAAAAGGACCTTTTTAACGGTGGACGGTGGCATATTCCGAAGAGGTTTCTTGAAATCGACGGCGTAGAGATCGCGATGGGGACGCACGTAGGGATCGCTTTCGCCGGAGGAGGAACTGTAACGAACCAAACCGGCCTGTCTGGCAGTCTCGAAGTACTGGGTGATTGGCAACTCGTTTGCGTAATCCCAGTTTCCGAACGCAGGTATTTGCCCGCTCCTCTTGCATTCCTGTCAAATCAAATAAATTAATTAACTAACTGATTTGCTGATTAGCGCAGATGAATTCGTTAATGATTAGTGATCTGAAAAAACGAAAAGGGAAAGTGAAAACCCGGCTTACATCCATTTTTGGGTGGTGAGATAGAAGTGAAGAGAAAAAGGGCAGTGGGTGGTGTCCTAGGAAGAAAAGGTTGAGGTGGGGTTGGAGGAGAGGTGGTTTGAACTATAAAGGAATAGTGAGGGCAAAAGGGTTAAAGAAAAGACAGTATCCGTAAGGAGGGGGTTCCCGATAAAACCTCAGACAGGGATATAAATTCTCTGCCCAGAATTTGGAGGAGAGAAAAAGAATCTGAAAAGTGAAAAGCAAGGAGGCAGAAACAGAGATGCAGAGAGGCAGAGGGTGGGGTTAAGTTAAGATAAAACTTTTTTACTACCTTTCTTCTTCTTATGATAAAAAAGGTATATAGAAATTAATGCAGTGAGTTTTGAAGAGACAGAAAAGGGGGCCTAGGTAGGCAGTTTGTTCCCTTTAGCACAGAGAGAATTGGTGGAAAAAAGAAAGAGGAGAGTTATGTTGGTGGTGGTGTGGTGGTTGATGGAAAAAGGAAAGAGGGAATTGAATGAGGAATGTGAAGAAGGGGGATTGAGGGAGAGGGAAAGAGAAAGGGAAAGGGACTGGTCGGTTGTGATATGGAAGGGTATGTAGCTAGATTTGGGGAATTTAGTAAGCGAGTGAGTGTTCCTGACAAGTTGGTGGGTGTTACTGTTGCCAAGTATGACCAATCTCAAAAAAGCCTTAGAATTTCAAATGCCAATGGCTGCTGCCATTCTGTCACTGTTCAATCTCTTCCCTTCCCTTCTCTTCTCTTCTCTTCTGAATCACTTTGCCTTTATAAATCACACCAATGCCTAAGGCCCCCCACCTTCTGTCTCTGCGCAAACTCGCTAACAAAGTCCACTAACTTTTTCTATGCACTCAAAACAAATAAACAGAGAAAGCAAGAACACCGATCCTCTTTTACTTCTTCTTTGGATTCGATCTTTTATTTCTTTAGGTCCATGCCGGATCTCACGCATTTGTTTTATTCTAAACTAAAAGCTTCAAATCAGATTTCCTTCTCTGTTCATTACAAAACATAAAAAGGTGAATCAAAACTCTAATAAACAAAACAGAGAGATATTAATTTATCATTTTTGGAGTTTTTATTGAATTTTAGTTACAGCAGAGTCTAGGTCAAGCCACTCTCTGACATAAATATTTGATTTTGATTATAGACTTAAGAAAAACGAGGAAGATTGGCCAATAGTCAATAGCACAGAGTGTACAAGTCAGCGAAGAAAACGGATATGGCGAGACAAGGTTTGCAGGAAGAAAGCATAGTCAAACCAAGCAGCCATGAGTCAAACACGACCCTAGTGTTTGTAGACCTTTGCAACTGACTATTATTAATACTAAACACTTATTTCTTCTCTATCATTTAGGGTGTGTTCGTTTGGAGTGATTTGGAGGAGATGATTTGGGGGAGATGATTTGAATGGATTTGAGTGGATTTGAGGGTAATTTTTTTGTTGTTTTTTTGAGTGGATTTGTGGGTAATTGAGAGTGGATTTGGAAGTAAAGTTTGTGAAAATTAGTGTAGGATTTGATTGATGTGATAGATTTTAAAAATTAGTTTAATTGATATAAATTGAAGATTACCAAAATGTCCCTAGTTATAAAATGTTATTTATAAATGTTATATTTAATTGTAAAAATGTTTATAAAGAAAAAAAAATTATGAATAATTTATAAAATTAATGTTTAAAAATTTTAAAAACTAAGTAATCAATTTTTTTTAATAAATTAGAATACTAAATAATCAATTTATTAAAAATAAATTAGAAAATATAATAATCAATTTATTAAAAATAAATTAGAAAATATAGTAATCAATTTATTAAAAAAAATTAGAAAATATAATAATCAATTTATTAAAAATAAATTAAAAAATATAATATATCTAATTTTATTAATATTAAAATAATTATAAAAAAACTTGAAAAAAAAGGATCGGATTTGCGATGGAAATGCGGGATGGTGCACAATGTTCAGTCACTCGCATTGTGAAGAGATATTGCGGGATTGTGAGCGAAATTGTCGCGGTGTGCCCTCGTTAAGAAACGCTAGAAACGCGTAACCGGTTGACATGTTCGGTAACCGGTTACGCGTTCGCGTAACAGGTTACGCGTTCGCGTAACCAGTTACGAGTTCGCGTAACCGGTTACACGTTCGCGTAACAGGTTACGAGTTCGCGTAACCGGTTACGAGTTCGCGTAACCGGTTTACGCGTTCGCGTAACGGTTAGCGATTTCCTAT